AGATTTTCCTTTAATGATGTCACTGAAATGCTTGGCAACCAATTCTGAATGAGCTTTGTTCCATCTTGTGTAGTTGCGGGCTGCAATAAAAGTAATCCAAAGTCATAACAAATACACACTGGCAGCGAGTGGATATAAAGGTACATACAACTAGAAAATTTGAACAGCCCTAAATTTGCCTTTGCTTGAGGAAATTGTACTTTTCAAGCAAATATGAAATGCAAAGTGAGTGTTAGCTTTTTAAAGAAGTCATCAAAGCAATGCATGGGATATGTCTGTTTTACACAGATGGCTGCTGTTTCAGTGTGTGCAAATATGTAGCTGACACCCTTAACATAGTTTATTCACTAAAGGATGGAGCTTACATGAATAAAAAAATGACTGTCCAAAACTAATGCTGTTATCCGATCCGGATCTGATCCGAGAGCTCGGCGGTAATCGCTTCCGAGCCGATTCCGAGACGGGATCCGAGAAATATTATTTCTCGGAGAAAATATCGAAGATTTGCCGACCCATTTTCTCTAGTAATAACTGAAAATGTGTATGTTTGACAGTCCATTAAGTAGTGTAATTTAAATAACTAATGAGGAAAGCAATATTGTTTACTTTATAAGTGGTTATTTTGTAGATTTATTTTTGTATTTATCTCACTTAGGAATGTTCAATACATGTATCCCCACTTCAACCAGTAATGTACAGTCCCTTTAATCACAGTGTCATGTGATTATATCACTCACACTAGCAGAATAGATCCATACCTTTCTTGGCATTAGCTGATTCACTTGCGTTTTCACAGTCACTCTCACTTTCCTCAACAAAAGGCACTGGTCTTCTGCGTCGGCCTGGAAAATGCAAAGAACATTGTCTGGTAAAAGGCTATTCAAAGAAAAATGAAAATTACAGCCTTGATATTGCTTTAGAGAAGTAGAGATAACTAAACTTGAAAGCATTCTATAAGGTGGACTATTATGGCATGAGGATTTATTTTCTTCAACACGAGTAACCATGTCCTCATTCTGCATAATGCCTATAGCAAGCATAAACATTGTTATTACGCTTATCTAATAAACTTTAAAAATTCAATTGAATTTACATACTTCTCTTGGTGTTAAGTGTCAGACTCTGTAGTGGCCTTCTGCTGGATACCAGTGGCTGCCTACTGCTGGACACTGATGGCTGCTGGCTGGCCAATGTATGACTGCCTGTTCCAACACCTACAGCATGTCAAGATTTTTTTTATTTTTTTATAGAAATATAAGAATTAAAAAGGCTAGTTATTTTTAGCCTTATTTAAAGTCTGAGATCATGCATTTTACACATATGAAGTGCTCTGGGCATGATTCAATGCTTGTTAATTAATTTCATTTAGTATGCCTCAGTCTCCAATGTAGATGTACTTGAAAACAAAGCTTCAGGACCTTTCGACACAAACATATGACTGATTTATATATATGTGCAGGCCTAGTCTGTACATTCCTTCCTCGGCATAGCCGGATTCACTTGGGTCATCACTGTCACTCTGACTCTCAACAAAAGGCACACATCTTCTTCGTTGGCCTGAAAAATATAATGAACCTTACTGTATAAAATGCAACTCAATTATCATTTTAAGATGAAAGAAAAAAATGGCATTTGGTATTGTTGCTTTTGGGGGAAAAAAAAACATTTAACTCAAAAGTATTCTGTGAAGATTATACATGCAGACGTGAGGTATTTTGGTATGTCACTTTGTTTCCATCTTCACTGGCTAACATGAACATTCTGTTGCCTACAGTAACTACAATTGCACTGCAATTATTATGCATCTTTAAAAATGTTAAAGCAGAAAATTTTATCAGATTGTACATACTTTTCTGGGTCTGCATTGTCTGACTCTGTAGTGGCCTACTGCTGGATACCAGTGGCTGCCTACTGCTGGACACTGATGGCTGCTGGCTGGCCAATGTATGACTGCCTGTTCCAACACCTACAGCATATTAAGAAAATTATGATCTTTATTTTGTTTGTAACCCCAACTAGGGTCATTTTCAGACATCGGCTATTTGGATAGGTCTTGTTGTCCTGAGACTTATTTAAAGTCTGGGACTTGGTATTATCGATGTAAAGTTTATGTGGATTTATAGATTGCATTTGTATTATTGAAGGGGATATACTGTGTATGTACAACAAATCTATTTAACTAACTGTTTTAAAAATAACAAAAAAGTACCCCTTTATAAAATACCCTGATGAGTAGTTATGTATGGGTAATTGAAATTGAAAATAAAGACCAAACCAATGCAAAAGAGTAGTAAATGCTCTTACCAGAATCTATGTGTTGAAGAATACTTCCAACTTGCGTTACTTCCTGGATGGCCAATGGAGTTTGATAAATATTCTCATTTATCATTCCTGAGTGTCCCATGTGCTTGAAAAACAAAGCTCTCTTGGCCTCGGGCAACTCAAAGGCAGCGTACATTGTGCTCACTCTATGTCTATTTTTAGTGGCATTGATTTGTGCCTTGTTCACGATGCCTGCTGCCTTGCATATGCTATTCAGTGCATGCCAGCCTGTGACATGGGACATCGACTTCTGTGTGCATGTAAAGACGTATGTGTTATCACTTGGTATGCCAACCATCTCCCTGACTTCGGGGTCGCACAAACGTTGCATTGCTTCCACTGTATCTTTGGGAAACAAAACAGGAACTAGGTGATTGTTTCCTTTCCCGGTCTGATACGCCACTTTGAAATTTTGAAGCATGTCCCTTTCTAGAGGATCATCTATGTCCTCTGCTCTTTGCTTGTCAATCCATACATCTGCATTGGCCTCCTCCCATTCACTCAGGTTCAGCCTGCACGGCTCCCCACCTCTTCGAGCATTAAACAATGTTAGCCTGGAGACAGTCATGTCTCGTAGGTTCTTGAAATTATGGATATCCCATACAAGATATTCATCGCTGACTATCTCCTGAACTCCATCAACAGAATATGTCCTTAGCTTCTGCATGTCAGCCTCAAGAGGCAACGCATCCGGCTTTCTGAGCTTGACTTGCCGATTCTTATTAATGGCATATGTCGCATCTCCAAATAGAAAGCTGTGATTCAGTTCCAGGACTGCGATGAACTTGTCAATTTCTTCGGCACCTCTGTCATCTCCTGTTGACAGATATGTAGCTTTTGTGAATTTGCATGCTAATTTCAGAAGGTAGTAGAGTCCAGATTTCAAACCAGATTTTAACTGTCCACTTTCTTCACCAGTAGTGTACACAGTAATGGCTTCACTTAGAGCATGAAAATGAAGCCTATCAAACATGTCTCCTGCATTTCCATTTTGAAGGACTGAGTTCCCATGGATTGCATGCTGCTGCTTGAATAATGCATATAGTGAAGCTAGCCTGCGCATGCTAGCCATGACAGATTTCCGAACCTGGGACCTTTTGTCCCGTTTGCTCCTTTCCTTACTCCACAATCGTTGCCCTATGTTGGTAATGACTTCATCAGTTCTGCAGACTTCACCAATCTCATCATCACGAAACTTTGACAATATTTCAGTGGTGAATTCAGAGACATCCTCATTGACTTGGACATTTGACATCAGTAAGGATACTGGCACTGCACAAGCTTCTGCAGCGGTATCACCTCTGCAATACCTCTTATGCCGTTTGAAGTAAGGTTTTGAATAAAAACCTTTGCATAACCCACAAATAGTCATTTTATCATTTGTATTGCATTTTCGCTCTCTCTGGTATTGTGGGTCCTTTTTTTTTATTTGATTTTGGTTGGCATGGAGAATTCCCTGTTTCTTGAATACAGACATGGCCACATTTCTTTCCTTTTTTGGGAGCTTCAAAGCATCTTTCACACTTTTCTCATGTTTGTGCACTTGTGTTATGTGTCTGGTTAGTTTCTCTCCACAGCTCTTGTGACAGAACGGGCAAACTCTTGATGGCTTTGAGTAATTTCTCTTGGCTTTCTTCTGTGGTAGTTCAAACATTACACTTTCAGCTTTATTGGACTCGGCTCCAGAGGCCACATCCTCATTGACAGATGAAGTTTCTATGCATTCAGGCAGAGAATCATGAGATTCACTTTCACTTTCAAGATCATATTCATAAGTGGGGTCTAAAACAGAATTATCACTTGAATCAGAGAAGCTGTCAACTTCATTTAAACAGTCTAGTTTTGAAAACCGAGCTGTTATTTTATGTCCAGATTTTCCACTGACATTTGGCATCCGCAAGTAATGTGATTCAGGGACAATTTGAGACAAGGTATCAAGTGGGCTGCTAGATGGAGACAGGGGCTGCTCCTGGTGAGAAGTATCAAGCGGGCTGCTAGATGGAGACGGGGGCTGCTCCTGGTGAGAAGTATCAAGCGGGCTGCTAGATGGAGACGGGGGCTGCTCCTGGTGAGAAGTATCAAGCGGGCTGCTAGATGGAGACGGGGGCTGCTCCTGGTGAGAAGTATCAAGCGGGCTGCTAGATGGAGACGGGGGCTGCTCCTGGTGAGAAGTATCAAGCGGGCTGCTAGATGGAGACGGGGGCTGCTCCTGGTGAGAAGTATCAAGTGGGCTGCTAGATGGAGACGGGGGCTGCTCCTGGTGAGAAGTATCAAGTGGGCTGCTAGATGGAGACGGGGGCTGCTCCTGGTGAGAAGTATCAAGTGGGCTGCTAGATGGAGACGGGGGCTGCTCCTGGTGAGAAGTATCAAGTGGGCTGCTAGATGGAGACGGGGGCTGCTCCTGGTGAGAAGTATCAAGTGGGCTGCTAGATGGAGACGGGGGCTGCTCCTGGTGAGAAGTATCAAGCGGGCTGCTAGATGGAGACGGGGGCTGCTCCTGGTGAGAAGTATCAAGCGGGCTGCTAGATGGAGACGGGGGCTGCTCCTGGTGAGAAGTATCAAGTGGGCTGCTTGATGGAGACGGGGGCTGCTCCTGGTGAGAAGTATCGAGTGGGCTGCTAGATGGAGACAGGGGCTGCTCCTGGTGAGAAGTATCAAGTGGGCTGCTAGATGGAGACAGGGGCTGCTCGTGGTGAGAAGTATCAAGCGGGCTGCTAGATGGAGACGGGGGCTGCTCCTGGTGAGAAGTATCAAGTGGGCTGCTAGATGGAGACGGGGGCTGCTCCTGGTGAGAAATAAATAAATAAATAAATAAATGAATAATAACAATAATAATAATTATAATAAAAATAAATAATCACATGAAACCAATTTTCACTCAAACCAGAATTTTATTGACTGTACCCAAGTTATAATGCATTTACAAAAATGTTTGTTAGGAAGTGGAAGTTAATTCACCCTGTCAGGTTGAAAAAAATTCATCTAAAATAGGGCAAATACTTTTTTTTTTGCACAAATCACATGAAATTTATTAGGAAGTACAGGTGCAACTCTCACTAATCTATAAGAGTTTATCATTTCTCTCTCACTATTTTTTATGTTTTATCTCAGTTCTTTAATTTACCTTTTTAAAAATCTGTGTTTTTCTCTTAAATTTGTTCTGCAGCTGTGCAGCAAGTTATTAGTTACTTTCATTATGCAGTACATCTTGTACAACTAGATGGATACTCAACTGCTGCGTGCAATCAGAAGTATGTTACATGCCTTATTGAAGAAATTGTCAAATAATGACCTCTCCTATACTACTATAGGTCAAATGGTTTATCTGTTATTCCAAGAACCAGGGGCTAGTTTCATGCATTCAATCTCTGTTGCCTTTGATCTGTGACCTCATGACCCCCATTCTTATCAGATTATTGCCCTTTGTATGTGCATACATAATCTCACTTCTAAGTTGATATGTTAAACCATTCTCGAGTTATCGCAAGAACAAGCGATTTTCATTTACACAATGACCACATGACCTTTGACTTTTGACCTAATGACCCCAAAACCTACTTCCCTTAAATGTGCCTTCCATTTATATACATGATCTCCGATTAAAGTTGATATATCAAATTGTACTTGAGTAATCGTGTGAATGTGCCATTTTCATGTAAACAATGACCTCCGTGGCCTTCGACCTAATGACCCCAAATCTGATCAGATCAGTCTGCCTCCCAGTGCCATACATAATCTATGTTTAAAATTTCTATGTCATACCATTTTCAAGTTATCGCAACAAGTTATTTTCATGTATAAAGACCTCTGTGATCTTTGACCCTTGACCTCATGACCACAATTTAATTAGATCATTGTCCCATATGACCCAACATTAAAATCAATACATCTAACAGTTCTTAAGTTATCACAACGAAAACAGGACGGACTTTGGACGTACAGATGTATGGACGAAACACCCAAAAACATAATGCCTCCGGCATCACCTTCTGTGAGCGTAGGCATAACAATTATGTTTACATTGCCATGAAGAGTATTCCTTTAAAAACAACCCAAAACAAAACAAAATAAAAAAAGTCCCCTTTAACTACTCACCATATGTTTCCATGGCAGCTTTGCATCTGGTAAACCATAATCATAAAGTAGCTCACTGCCAACTCTTATGGTCTCTGAGGCAAAAAGGCACAAGTACGGTACATCTTCCACAGAAATAACCTTCATGTTACAGTTGCGCTCATGTGGCTCCCCATGATTTACAAGTCTTCCATAAGAAGGCCCCTTTTCTGTTTCCTCTGTGGCATCATAACTGAAAAAGGAGGACATATCATTAGTCTCCACGGATCTATAAAATTCAAAGTGAAAATAGAAGTGAGGTTTCCAGTGAGGGGAAAACAAATTTGTAAGATGTTTGTACATGGGTCATTCTAATCCCAACAAAAAAAGTAAGTCCCCCCCCCCCCCCTAATCAAAATAGCATAATTTTTTAACGAAGAAGGTTCAAGCAGAATAACTTGGCAGGATTGTTACTACAGTTATGGGCAATTCCATTCTGCCCTAGAAAATGCCTACTTTTGTTATTGCATAAAATGTAACTATTTGTATTGATTTTTAAGTGTCTGTTCATCTGATTTTTCTAATTTTTCATAAAGGTGAATTTTCTAAGGGAGGACTTATCCTTCAAAAGCACATTTTTCATGCAGTCAGAATAAACCTGGCAAAAAAAATAAACACTTCTGTGTCCCATTTGGTAACAAGGCTTTATGCTAGTAATACTGGAGAAAGTTAAGCATCCTTCGTCTTCACTCTTTCTTTTCTATAGTCAACACTTGCCTAAGGCATAGGGCAAGAAAATATCATTCTTGTTTGTATGGAAGTTAATTTCCAAGAGTGACTCACCAGCTGGTTTTTCCCTTGAATGAGAAAAAATACCGAAAAACACTTGGATGGCCTTCATCCTCCTCCAGAGCTTCAGCCACACTTTCAGGTAGTAGTTTTCCTGGATACTGCAAGAGGAAATCTCCATTGTCAAATTCCTCTGTAGTCACTACTCCTCTTCCTGGAATAAGAGAGCACATTAAGCACATGTATAGTTGAGCCTCACAGAAAATATTTTGTACACTAAGCATGGGCACTTTCATGTTGATCATGGCCAGTTCCACATAAAAAAACAAATTTTAGAGAATTTTAAAGGTATGAAATTGTAATAAATTTGACATGTTTGGAATGATGTTGAGTTACTGAATCTAGCAGTCAGATTGAAATTCATGTTTTATTATGCCTCCGCACGGAAGGTGCCGGAGGCTTTATGTTTTCGGGTTGTTCGTCCGTCCATCCTACAGAGGGTCAGAATGAAATCAAACTGTGCCAAAAGTCTTAAATGGTGAATGTGAGATTCCAATATTTTTGCATATGGGCTTTTAGCTATTAGCTGGTACTACTTGCAACTTTTTGTGTTATAAACATAAATGTTCAGCAATGTTTTGTGTAATTTAGCTCATTTCTATAGGGATAAAATGCATTGACAATGGGGAAAAAAGAAACTACACTTGAGTGCACAGGAGCTGTCTGCACTGACGTAAAGCACAAAAATAGTTTTGGCGCAGTTTGTTTTCATTCTGGCCCACTGTGCGTCCGTCCGTCATTCCGTAAGTCTGTCCGGATTTTTCGTTTACGTGATAACTCAAGAATTCCTGAATGGATTTGATCATACTTGGCCCAAAGGTACCCCATGACGTGCCAACGATCTGATTAGATTTTGGGTCAGATCCACCCAGGGTCAAAGGTCAATCAACTTTATCAAAAAATACTACTTTTACCTCGTTTACGTGATGACTCAAGAAATCCTGAATGAATTTTGATCATACTTGGTCCAAAGGTACCACTTGTCGTACCAGCGAGCAAGTTGGAATTTTGGCCATATTCACCCAGGGTCAAAGGTCAAAGGTCAATGAACTCTATCTGAAAATCCTACTTTCACCATCTAGGAATTACCAATTAAGTTGAAATTTGGTAAGGAGGTAGCAAAAAAGTAGAGAAACATTTTGGTGTAACATTGAATGTAAAAAGTTAAAGGCCAAGGCCAAGGAATTGGCATATCTGTCATTACCTCCAGCTTGGAAATTTGAAAGTCTACAGTATTACTTTATGGAATTTCAGTGTCATATACAACTTTTAAGTTTAGCCTCCTCCACCAAATATTAATGAATATGGGTGCTATGCTAAAGTATGTATATCCACCCTACCTACATGTAGGCTTTCAAAATGCACTGAAATGCCAAAAAAGAACATAACTCAAAGACAAATCAATCAAATGCAAGTTTAAACAAAAGGGATTTAACATTGGGCTTAAAGCTTTCAAATCTAGAACTAAATGTGTGGATCCAATTATGAATTATACAAGAATGCGTACAGGAAAATTATTAAATCAACTATCGAAGCAATAATTGAGGAATGCGAAAAGGCGGAGCCCCACATACCAGTCTACTGCATGCAGTCAAATGTTTCCAGTTTCTAAAGGGAGCTGTTTGGGAAGGTGTGTTTATGCATGAGAGGAGCTGTCGAAAAAGACAGGTCCATGCAATGAAAAGGTGAATTTTCGGGTAAAATTGGCAGCGTGTGTCCCATGACCATTGAGAACATACATGGTACATGTATTGAATCATTGTAGTTGTGTTAACCATTAAACAAGCACTGTACAATAAAAACAAAAACAAACAAATAACAAAGATATTAGAACCCCTTACCTTTCAGAGGAATTTCCTTGACAACAAAACCTTGTTTGTCTTCCTGTTTTCTGATATATATCTCTGCTTCTTTGTCAGGCTTTATACGCTTCCTTCTTTGACCAACCATTGTACCTAGACAGTCCAAAAAAGAAATATGCAAAAAAGAAAATGTCAGTTCAACTACAAAAACACTCTGATGTGCAATCTTACACGGAGTAATATTAGCTTGCGCATTGACATAGCATGGCAAATGTTTAATTTTCAGGGTGTCAATTGAATTTAAAAAGGTGCACTATTTTATTTTCTTATATTGCAAATGAGTCTTGAACCCTGAATTTTTAAGTACAGAATCTCTTTAATAAGCAGCTCCTCTTCAAGCTGGCTAACATGAACATTTTGTTGCCTACAGCAACTGCAACTGCACTGCAATTATTATGCATCTTTAAAAATGTTAAAGCAGAAAATTTTATCAGATTGTACATACTTTTCTGGGTCTGCATTGTCTGACTCTGTAGTGGCCTACTGCTGGATACCAGTGGCTGCCTACTGCTGGACACTGATGGCTGCTGGCTGGCCAATGTATGACTGCCTGTTCCAACACCTACAGCATATTAAGAAAATTATGATCTTTATTTTGTTTGTAACCCCAACTAGGGTCATTTTCAGACATTGGCTATTTGGATAGGTCTTGTTGTCCTGAGACTTATTTAAAGTCTGGGACTTGGTATTATAGATCTGTTTAATCTGACCTCTTCTGCCAACCCAAATTGTTGTTTAGTTATGATATCTAAAAATGTATTTGTTTTGGTATTTTTAGGGATTGGTTTTTTATGCTGTCCCACGAAGTCCTGAACCCCATGTACTGCCTGTTTCAGTACGCCAACAAGAATACATGTAACTACTGTCTGCAGATCAACCTGGCCTCGTCCGTCAACCCAGACCATCTCCAGTAGGAAGATTCATCGCCATGGTGAGAAGTCATACAATATGTCTGCAGATGGAACATAACACTGATTTTGTTTGGGGTCCTGGTTGCCCTCCACGATCTTACCCTCTCTGGGGTGATCTTGGATGGGTCTTTGCAAACTAACTACTTGGTCCAGAATGAAATCAATATTATTGCAGTCATAAAAAGAATAGACTATTTCGAGCTGGACATGGAGATGACATTCGTTGCAGACTTTGAGATCCTAGGAAAGATCGAGACGGTAGATCTCAAGGAAGGCGGCAAAGATATTGACGTCACCGAGGCTATTTTATGACGAAAGGCTGCTGTGAAGAAACAAGTGGTGTGGCCAACATTCCACACCAGCCTCGGGACACCCTCTGGAAGAGCATCAACGAGACGAGACACCAGCAGCAGCGCCTCCACCACCATCATTCACTCGAGCGGCGGCGGAGGCAGTGGTCAGGTCTACCGCGCCACCACTCCCTATTCACGCTAAAACAGACTCTGTCTTTCAAGGTGGAGAAGGAAGATGATTATGATGAGTGTAGCAAATAGGACTATGTGGACTGTAATGTTATGAGCTGAAGTTATGCAGCACTCCTAATTTGAATATAACTTACACCTGTATGTGCTCATTGTTAAACAGCCATGCACATTCATTCAGAAGCAACCATGCAGAAAGCACTCTTCAATACAGTACTCTTGGCACACAGAGTGTGTGATGTATTTAATGAGTAATTAGCCATGCACACATTCAACCCTCATACACTGCCTTATGTACTGGACATGTGAGAGTGGTAAGTTGCACTTGACCACTAGCATGCACAGCATAAGCATGATGTTTTAGTTACACCAATAAACTCCTGAACCTCAAGCAAAGATATGTGGAGCTTATTACTTTCTTGACCCAGCTACATTTAGTAAAGTACTAACCAAGAAGTCTACATAACAAACCCACTATTTTTGACATGGTGGCAAGCGGTGAGTGCAAGTCTTCAACGTGCCAGTTTTTGTGCCAGACTACCAGTACAGTACCATGTGCTATACAGCAGCAGCCATTTTGGATTTTGCAGCACAGCAGCAGCCATTTTGGATTTTTCCTTGTTCAGGAGAAACACATAGGAATTTGTTGGACACCATAATTCCATGAACAGTTAGTTTGTTTGATGCCTGAGGGTGAGTGGTGACACATTCCAGCATTTTGTTCCTTTTTCTGAAGCACAGCATTGAAGTAACATTAACATGGCTGATCATATTCCACGAATGGATTGGGGTGCACCAAACCTTGCTGAAGCTTTTCGTATGTTCAGACAAAGATTGAGCCTATACTTTTTGGCTAAGCACACACCTAAAGAGGATGAAGTTCCTATCATTCTACTTGCTGCGGGTGAAGAGGGCCTTCAGCGATACAATTGTTGGACATTATCAGAGTCTGAACAAACAGCGAAGATCATCCTAGACCGTTTTGAGGAGCAACTAGAACCGCAAGACAATTTTCGAGTATGTCGTCTGAAGTTGTCGAGAACAATGCAGAGGCCAGATGAAAAGTTGGACGATTTCATAAACAGATGTCGACAAATAGCTCGTAAATGCGAATTTGATCACAAGGAGTTGGATGAGCGAATCCTTGAACAGATTATTGCCAGCACACCCATCGCAGATTTCCGGAAAGACCTACTTACTACAAAGAAGGACTTTACACTACAGGGTGCTCTACAGCTAGGAAGGACGTATGAAGCATCAAAGTCACATGTCCAAACCCTCCAGTCTCTGTATCATCCAACACAGAGCATAGATGCAGTGCAACAGCAGAAACAACCTAAGAGTTTATGTAAGAACTGTGGGAGACAACATAGATTCGGCAAGGAGTATTGTCCAGCAGCGAGTGTTACATGCTTCTCGTGCAATAAGCAAGGACATTATGCTCAATTGTGCCTATCAACCAAGCTCAAACAACCACAGAAATATCATAAGTCTTATGCTTCTTCCCGGAAGAAGAGGGGGGTGGATGAACGCCAACACCCATCACGACGTTCCAAACAGGTGGATAACGTGCGAGAGGAACACACCGAATCTGAAAGTGAACTGGGTACATTACCACAACGATTTGACAGGTTTCATTTTGACACGATTATCATTGACTCTGTGAAGAGGAATGAAGCTATTGCACACTTGGACATCAAATTGGACGACAAACCAGGTGTCCATGACCTGAAAGTAAAGGTGGATACAGGAGCAGAAGCGAATACACTGCCACTTCGAACTTTCAGAAACATGTATCCAGAGCAGCTTGATCGTCAAGGTTTTCCACGAAATCTACCAGATGCGGGCACAATCCTTTCAGCTTACAATGAAACGCTGATTGGTCAGTATGGAACAGTTGTTATTCCCTGCAAGTATGGAGACACAGCATGGACTGATACCTTATTTTACGTAGTTCAGTCCAACGGCCCAGTGATACTTGGTCTCCAGTCATCTGTAGAGTTTGGACTAGTTACTCTCCATTGCTCTTTGAACATTGAAACGCAAGTCAGTGGTGTCCAGGCTCTAGTACAACTCTTTCCACAGCAGTTCGATAGGATTGGAGAATTTCGTACCACACATCACTTGACAGTTGACCCCAACGTTCCAAGTCATGTCGACGCTCCTAGAAAGATGCCTATTGCCTTGAAAGACAAAGTCAAGGCAGAACTGGACAGTATGGAGAGCCAGGGTGTGATCAAGCAAATCATCGAACCAACCGAATGGGTGAACTCAATCACATATGTCACCAAGAAGGATGGAAGCATTCGCATTTGCTTAGACCCTCGCAGATTGAACAAGGCACTTATCAGACCTCACTACAAACAGCAGACCTTGGAGGAGTTGAATCACAAGTTTCACAACATGCAGCACTTCTCCAAGTTAGATGCAAAGTGCGGCTACTGGTCAGTTAAGTTAGATGAGGCCAGCCAAAGACTTACCACATTCCAGACACCTTTTGGAAGATATGTCTTCTGTCGCCTACCATTTGGACTCAGTGTAAGTCAGGACATTTTCCAGTTGGAGATGGACAGAGTTCTAGAAGGCTGTAAAGGGGCAGAATGCATAGCAGATGATATCGTAATCTTTGGGCGTACAGTAGAAGAGCATGACCGCAATCTTCTCAACTTCATGCAAATAGCAGCAAAGAGAGGCCTCACACTGAACTCAAACAAGTGCCATATCAGGCAAACGAGTATCAACTTCTTTGGTAATCGATACTCAAAGGATGGTATCCAGCCAGATCCCCAGAAGGTAGCTGACCTCGCAGGAATGCCGACTCCGAGCACCAAGGCTGAGTTGCAGCATTTCCTAGGTTTCATTACTTACCTGTCTCACTTCATCCCAGATTTCAGCACAAAGACTGCAGTTCTGAGAGATCTCCTTAAGAAAGAGGCTGATTTCATCTGGGAACCACATCATCAAGCAGCCATGGAGAAACTCAAGCAAGAAGTTTCAGAGAAATCACTACTCCAGTTCTTCGACACAACATCCCCAGTGTATTTGCAGTGCGATGCAAGTCTTCAAGGGTTAGGAGTTGCACTCCTACAGCATGACCAGGAAGGTAGACTCCGCCCAGTAGCTTACGCAAGCAAAGCCCTATCTTCAACTGAAACACGCTATTCGTGTATTGAACGAGAGCTGCTTGCTATTGTGTTTGGAGTAGAACGTTTTCACACATATCTCTATGGCAGGCTATTCCATGTAATCACAGACCATAAGCCACTTCTGATGATTATGGACAAACCTCTCACAGCAGCCCCTCCAAGGCTTCAAAGGATGTTGATTCGACTACAGGGATACAACTTCCAGATCACACACCGTCCAGGACTAGACAACCTGCTCGCAGACAGTCTCTCACGATTACCAAGCACTCACAACAATGAAACAGTTGAACTTGATCTGAGAGTAGATCTGGTGCAGTTCTCGTCAAGGAAAGTAGATGAGCTGAAACACACTACACGACAAGACAAAGTCCTAAGTGCACTGATGGAAGTTATTGTGACGGGCTGGCCTGATACGGTGAAGCAAGTGCAACCAGAGTTGAGAAAGTTCTGGAGTTACCGAGATGAGTTAACAGTAAGCGACGGTATAATTCTCAAGGGAAACAGAGTGGTCACTCCCAAGCAGATGCAACCAGACATCTTGGAAAAGCTCCATACCAGTCACCTAGGCCAACAAAAAACAAAGTTGCTGGCCAGAGGAAAGGTGTTCTGGAGTAACATGAACAAAGACATTGACAGAGTGGTGCAGTCATGTGTGAGATGCCAGGAACATCAACCAGCACAAACGCCAGAACCACTCCAGCCACACGACATTCCCACGATGCCCTGGAGCACGGTGGCAACAGACATGTTCGAACTCAAAGGCAAACAATGGTTAATTGTGGTGGACTACTACAGCAAGTACCCAGTGGTTCGCCAGTTACCAGACCAAGCAACAAGCAGTGCTGTAATCACTATGATGCAACAAGTGTTTGCAGAGCATGGCATACCAGCAAAGGTGGTGAGCGACAATGGACCCCAGTATGCCAGTTACCAGTTCAAGTCGTTTGCAGAATCATGGGGTTTTGAACATGCTACATCGTCCCCCAGACGACCACAAGGCAACGGATTTGTAGAGAGACAAATCAGAACCATCAAGGGTATCATGAAGAAGACTTCAGACATTCAGCTAGCACTACTTCTTTGGCGTACAACTCCCATATCAGAGAAGCTACCAAGTCCAGCTGAAGTTCTCATGAATCGCCAGTTGAGAACCACACTCCCAGCCAAGTTGCAGAGAACACAGCCAGATGCTGATGACATCTACAATCAGCTGCAGGAAAGACAGAATAGTCAAAAGTTCTATTTTGACAAACATGCCAGAAGAGCTGACTTGCCAGAGCTTTACCTTGGGCAAGATGTACGATACCGCGACCCAGTGTCCAGACGGTGGTGTCCTGCAACAGTTGATACCAGGGCCGAGGGACAGCGCTCCTACATTCTCCAGAGCCCTGAGGGAAGTTACCTACGAAGAAACAGGCAGCACATAAGACCTGACCATACCGACCAGTCTACAACTGAGGTTCCCAGGGGTGATGATAGCAACGGTCCAGGTGATGAAGGTGCCTCATCCACTGACCACGATGAGCAGTTGAGCACTCCACATCGTGCATTCCCCGAGACTCGAAGTAGCCCAGGACGGGAGGAGGCTCCACCTCGAAGCCCAGGACGGGAGGAGACTCCACCTCGAAGACAACGTTCATCGCGAAACACTCAACGCCCTAAGAAGTATGATGATTTTGAGATGTAACTGATGAAGAAGCACAAATTCAGACTGAACTTGAACT